GTTTTAGAAAGAATGGTCACGTTATGTATCCTAGGACTGGATAACAGGATCTGAGTAGTGATAAATGTCTAAGGAGAAGGCAATCCACCTTGAGAAAGAGATGCGCTCTCCTCTCAGACTCTGCTGTAAGGAGCGCGTGGACCAGCAGTTGGTGGTCAGGCCCCTGCGTCCAGTCACAGCTGTAGGTTCCTCGGGCTGTTTCTTGGATTTCAATTAGGTAAGGCCCCTGCAGCTGAAAATCGCCACAACATAAACTCACAAACTTACTCAAAACATTGAACCATCTCTGATTTTTTTCCTCAGCCTATTGCAGGACTGCATAGTTCCCTAGAGAGGACTCTGTAGGCTGCAGCATCCTGGTACAATGTCAAAGGTTTGACCCGGCCGATGGTTTCCCTGCGTGTGTTTTAATCCTTGTTCTCATCGACATCTCCATGCATTCCTCAAACATTAACTCTGACCTTCCAGAATTTCTCACTGGCTTCTGCACCAGTTTCCCTTTATCTGGGCTTGAGCACCCCATCCACGTCCCCTTCCACACTGTCAAATTCTGTCTTCCCTCTGAAACTCTCCTTCCTAGGCCAGACAGCCTGTTCTAAGAAGGCCAGGACTGTCTTGTTCTGAGCTCCAGTCTTTCCGTGAGCAGCTCGCAGGAGGAGCTGAAAACCACCTCAGTTGTATAAGCTTTTGTCTAATCAGCTTTGATCACCCAGGAACCTAGGACCGCTTACGCTGTTTGCTTGAACGTCATTCTGTTCTTTGTTCCCAGTTTCCTGTAACTCTTGCCTTCACCCAAGTCACATCCACTCACAGAACACGTTATCTTTGGTTATCCATCTCGGCCCAAAGCTGGCAAGGTCTCCCTGGAGATGAGTTTCCACCATGACTATGTCAAAGGTGGAACTGTGGACCTGTACTTTCCTAACTTTGATTAACAACTCACCCGGGACAAGAAAGGTTCCTCTCGGTCACCGAAGCCCGACCCCCACCCCAACCGCCATTCTTGGGCACCTTCTTGGAAGTCTACTCTTGGCTGTAGAAGACTCTGCCCTGACAGAAGCCAAGCCTCTCAAAGATACTAACAGCCATCTGTGGTTAAAGTGAAGGTTTGGGCCGGGAGGATTGTTATGTTTTGTTTTGTTTGTGGAGCACACAGTCACAGCAAGGGTGTGGGCTGAGGGCACCTGTTTCTGCAGAGAGACAGAGCCTCTGAACTGGCCCTTCCTCTTCCTGTCAGAGAGGGTCACTGTGTGCTCTCAGCAGGAGTCAGGCTGGTGCTGGAGACCACAGGAGAACAAGCTCTGCTGGTCCCAGAGCCTCTGCCGAGGTCCCAGGCGCCAGATCCACCGGTTTTGGTCACCTATCCCACATCACCAAGGAGATTGATTGATTGATTGATTGATTGATTGATTGATTGATTGATTTGGAAAATAGATTGAACCGGGGTGTTCCCATCTGGCTGGTTATGTCCAAGGAAGGCCACAGAGCTTTTCCCGTGTGAGTCTGAAACCCACCCACCTTTTTTTTTTTTTTCCCTAAGGACCTTTTCCTTTGAGTCTAGCAGGGATTAACAGTTGCCTTGGAGGAAATCGAAGAAGGAGCCTAACTGATCTCAGTTTGTCGTGGTTTGCTGAGGTGGTGGCACTAGATGGAGCGCGTTATCCACTAGAGGTGGGGAGGTGCTCTGCGCTTGCCTCAGTGACCTGGGAGGCCTGGCCATCCCTAAATCCAGACCATCAAATGTCTGCCCAAGCCACTGATGCTAGACCGGCGTCCACACCCCCTCAGCATCTCGGAGCAAAGCTGTTCAAATGCTGAGGAACATGCTGGAAGCTGGACTTCAGCCAAAGCTCTATTAACCAACTGACCTCCCCGAGTGCCTACTTAACTGAAGCCGCATGCTTCACGGTGGCCCCCATGGACTAGTGTCAATTCAGAACAGTATCCAATAACCCTAGAAAGTACGATTTGCCCGCTATATACAGTTACCCTAGTGCAGGGATATGGGTCTCTCCGAGGAAGGATGGAAGAAAGGCCAACTGTAAAACCTTCATTAGGTATTTTAGCAAGAGCCCATCGGGGGACCTGGCCTTTTCTTTATCCAGGGAATTCTGGGTCTGCAAACTGCGGAGAACCAGACCTTATTTCTGTAAAGACAAAGAGTGCCAAGGTTCGGCTAAGTCCCTTAGAATATTAAAAACTCAGGCAAACCAATAATGGTGGAGAGGTTTCCCTCATGGTGGAAACCTAAGAGGAATGTATTTGAAAACCATGCACAGAGGACTGTGGAGAAACGTGAAGACGGAGCGGATATGTCCAGAGCTTGGGAGCTGCAGATGAGCTGAATCGGAAGGGAGGCCGGTCCGAGCTACCAGGGCTTGTTACAAAACAAGTAGAAAAAAACAAAAACAAAAAACTCAAAATGACACTCTTACTTATCGACTGGGTATGTAATTATGCTTCAAAATTGCTAAGGGGAAAACAAGCACACAGTAACCACTACTAGTTGCTGTAGGGTTCAAACCCACAGAGGCATCTGCCGAACAGATCCACAGTGCGCTGTAGTGGAAGATAGCTCTCTATTAGAATCCGTACACCTGTGTGAATCGTTTGTTTTGTAGACTCTTGGAATAGGATGATCACGACTGCGCAGTTTCTCTCCCTGCTTTAAGGAATTACTCTTCATGATCACCTCTAACATTCTAGAGAAATCTTCATTCTTTTCCGTGGTTTGCAAAGAAAAGCCACTGTCGTAGGGGAGGGCCAGGGAGCCTCCCGCTCCACAGGATCGGGTTAGAGGACTGTGCCACCCCACACTGTGTTCACCAGTGTTGACCTCAGAGTCAGAGATTCCCCCTGCCTTTGCCGCTCTAATGTTGGCACAAGAGTGCACAGCAGGCCCTGATCAAACCAGGGCTTGAGCGAGCCAGGCTATCTCTTCTGATCTCCAGGATATCAGCAAATGACTTGAAAAGCAGGAGACCATCATGGCTATTTCAGAGAAAGGAGAATGATGAGTGATGCAACCCAGAACCAGTCAGCCAACCGAAAATAAAACAAACTAACAAAAGATAGAAGGCAAGAGAGCCCTAAAAAGTCTCAGGTTGTTTCTTAGATAAGAAATTAAAAGGGTGGGGGGAAAATGAGTGAACACTAATAAAATTTTAAAAATCTTATTTAGTGAATGTGTGTGTGCATGTGTTTGTGTGTATGTGTGCAAAAGTGTACAACAGCACATGTGTAGGGGTCAGAGGACTGGAGTACTGTTTTTCATTTGATACTGGAACGTGTCTTTAAAGTACTACATCTACAAATGCCTCCGCACACTCACCCACAGGGCTGCTGCACTAGCTGCCAGGCAGGTGGGAAAGCAGGCCCGGATATTTCTAAACTTAAGTTTCTCTTCTTTCTTTTGACAGGGTTTCACTATGTAGTCCCGGTGGCCTGGAACTCACTATGTGGACCAGGCTGCATCAGAACTCAGAACGATCCGGCCGATTTCTTACTGGATGTTTGAGACAGTGTCACCATGGCTGAGACTGACTGACCTGTAGATCCTACAGTTTTCCCATCCTGCCCACAACTGGGAGGCGAGGTCATGGGTGTGTATCACCACTCTAGGCAAGAACAGCCACCCGGTGCCCACACTTCTTCTCCTATTCATTGTGAACAGAGAACTGAACTGTTCTAATGTGCTGGGCTGTGATGTTGTTCTACAATCACAACAGAAAACTAGTGAGTGTTTTGTTCACTGAAACACACACACAGGCTGCAAAGATGGAAATGCTATGGCCAACAGCTGGTTGGCTGCACAGGGCAGGTTGCTAAGGGCTGCCCAGTGTGGGCTGAGTACCTCTAGGGCCTCCAACCATCCAAACACCTTCTGTCCCTGTTCCTCCGCTTCCCTGAGGGGCAGCAACACTTCCTCTTACTACTCAGAAGCTGGTCATTTTGGTTTATATTAATGTGAATGCAGGTTTTCTGTGTGCCGTAAACACTGTTTAGATAACTCAGTACAGTGCACATGCAATTGTGGATCTCAACCTCATTCCTAACTCATAAGGCAACAGCAGCTCTCAGTGCGCCGAAGGCTCATTTTCCAGCACACGTCTGAGTACCAGGCACGCAGCACTAGGGGAAAAGTGATTCCTTATCCCCCCAGACTTCCTGGTACAGAGGGAGGGACACCACAGATGGAGTTTCTCCTCTTCTTGTCCTGGAACCCTCTCTGTAGACCAGGCTGGCCTTGAACTCACAGAGATCTGCCAGCCTCTGGGATTAAAGGCTTGTCCCCGCCCCACACACACACCCAGCATGGATTGTCTTTTCAAGGAGAAACTCATTCATGGGAGAAAAAGGAGAATTTAAATTGGGCTCCTCCTCATATAGAAATTATAACGCCATTCACACCCCCACCTCCTCACCCTAACCAGCCTGTCCTTACCATCGGATTAGTCAGAGACAAAACCAATATGAAATAAATACATGCATATGGACATATGACGGGCAACTCACAAAACCTACAGTTAGCAAGCTGGAGTTGGTGGTGTATTTTCAGTTCGGAACCGAGCAGCTCAGCAGCAAGAGCTGATAACCTTTCAATTCGCACTGAAAAACAGCAAGACAATGTCTCCGCCCGAAAGCTGTTAGTGTTGGAAGGCATGGCCTCTACTGTGTGTATTGGGGTGAGTGGGGTGCTGGTGTGTTGGGGTGAGTGGGGTGCTGGTGTGTTGGGGTGAGTGGGGTGCTGCTTCTGTGCTGTTTGGGCCCTGCAGTCACTTGGACGATGCCCACTTCCATCCACGAGGACCATCTTCTTCCCCCCGTAAATGTTAAACTCATCTAAGGAGGGATGGAAGAGTTGCACAGGAAACCTACGGAGATGTTTGACCAACTGTGTGGATGTCTAGCTCATCGCCCTGTCCAGAAGCTGTGGAACATTAACCTTCGGCAGTTTGCTGAAAGAGAAAACAAGATTTAAAAATAAGAAGGAAGTTGGAGACATGCCTCAATGGTCAAGAACGCCTACTGCTGCTCTTGGACCCACATTTAACTCCCAGAACCCACAGGGTGACACACAACTGCTTGTCAGCGCAGTTTCCTTTGAACTGTCTGAGCTCTTGTGAGCACGTGGTGCAATGCACACACTGAGGGACACAAGCATATACAGAGAAATAAATAAAGGTATTTTAAAGAAGCAAATCCAGTGATGGCTTATATCAGCATTTGGGAAATTGAGCTGGAGTTCAAGGCTACACAGCAAACCCCTGCTTCCCCACTCCCTAAAGTGGGGGGGGGGGGCCGCTAGAGGGAGAAGGAAGAGAAATATTTAACTAACACGAAGCAAGTAAGAAAGCAGGGCAATTTTGTTCAGGTGTTAAACAGCCTTGCACCTGAGATACACTCCCATGGTTCAACAGTGGAGCAGTTGCCCCTTCTTTTATCTCCTCAGTTTTCCTTGCCACTCTTCCCGTTTGTCTTGGTTGGGGAGGCTTGCTTGGTTTGGTTTTGTTTTAACCCAGGCTGGTCTCTAACTCTCAGCAATCCTCCTGCCTTGGCCTCCCAGGTGCTGGAATTAGAGGCATGCATCACCACGCTCAGCTCACCCTCCCCCTCAGTAAGGGCATTATGTGCATGGCCTCAGGAATGCTAGGCAAGAACACACAGAGGAACATCTCTCTGCCAGCTGAACTGCATCATAAGCCAAGAAGAAACTTAGAGGAAAAGAAATCTCTTGTCTTGTCATAGTAGTTCCGGGGCAGGACTCAAGAATTCCTTACTTGGAATAGGTTCCTACTGACCCACAGCCCACAGTGAGGGTTGTCAACACGTAGATAAAAGCGATTTCAATTCGAGTGTATTCATTTGGAGTCTGTGAATTTGGTTGGGAAGCAGAAGTCCTCTGAAGATGGTCACCCTGTAAAAAGATGACCACACCTTTTGTGTTTGCTTTTCAGTTTGCTTTTTGAGACAGGCCTTCAGGTAGCTCAGGCAGCCTTAAACTTCTAATTATCAGCCTTCTCCTCCTCTGTACTGAGATTATAGGCATGCACCACCGTGCTGGGTTCTATGTGGTACTGGGGGTGGAACTTCTTGCCTATTAAGCAAGTCTTCTACCAACTGAGCTCTTGTAGCCCAGGCTGTCTGTCCTTAAACTCACAGCCCTCATCCTATGCCAGCATCTCAAAAGCTGGCATTACAGGCCTGAGCCACCTGCCTGGTGTGTAATATCATCTCATTTGAGCTCCCAGACTCCAAATTGCTAGCCCTTCTTCCAAAATCTATATCAGGTACCTGTAGCACGAATCTTAAAAGTTCTTACTAATGAAAATAAAACCCAGCCAGGTATTGGGGTGAATGCTGGAAGATCAGAGAAGCAGAACAAGCCACAGCCACCTCACCTTGCCAGTTCCTCAGCTGATCCTGTTTCCTCGGACTGGAAGCCACTATGTCCTCATCCAAATGGGTCTCAGCTGAACTGCTGCTAAAAGACTAAAAGCTTAACCTGCTCTAGTTCCTGGTTTTTACACCCTATATACCTTTCTGCTTTCTGCCATCACTTCCTGGGATTAAAGGCTCAAGTCACCATGCCTGGCTATTTCCAGTGTGGCCTTGAACTCACAGAGATCCAGGTGGATCTCTACCTCTGGAATGCTAGGATTAAAGATGTGAGTGCCACCATTTTCTGACTTCTATGTCTATCTAGTGACTGTTCTGTTCTCTGACCCCAGAGAAATTTATTAGGGTGCACAATATTTGGGGGAACAAAATATCACCACAGGTACCCGCTGCTAGGAAGTTCCCTAACATCTCCCCAATTGGCTGAAAATATAATCCTTGGAATATCGTGGAAGATGTTCCTCTTCCTGGCCTCCAGCTCCCATTCTAACTTTGTCTATCCCTTCCCAAAGCCTAACCACTTGGCTGGAAATTGACTACCCTGTTTTCAAAAGGCTACCTAGCCAAGGTTTTCTGAGGCTGCTGCACGTGAAACTTTCCGTACCATCCAGTGCCTTCACTCACTCAGCAGATGTCTTGAATACTTTCTAGGTAACTTCAGTGACTGCATCATGCTGAGTGTCCGATGCCGATCACCGCAGGCATGTGTCTTCTGGTCCCGTGGCACAGTGCCTGGCCCTGGCTCAGGCCTATCGGCTTCTTCCCAGGGAAATTTATCCTCAGAGACTCAAGTTTGCTTTTGTTGCTATGAGAAAACACCAGGACCCAAAGTGACTAGGGGGAAGAAAGGATTTGTTCTCATCTTATGAGTTACAGCCCATGACTGAGGGAAGTCGGATCTGGAATTCAAGGTAGGGACCTGCAGGCAGGAACTAAAGCAAAGACCACAGAGCAATTCTGTTTTCTGGCTTGCTTCAGTTCCTCCTCCTCAGCCAGCTTTCTTACACGGCCTAGGGCCGCCTGCCAAGGCCGACATCGCCCCCAGTGAGCTTGGCCCTCCTACAGCAATCATAAATCATGACAATGCCCCACAGGCCAATCTGATGAAGGCAGTTCCTGGATCCATCGAGGTTTCCTTTTTCATGTGATTGCAGTTTGTGTCAAGTTGATAGAAACTAACCAGTAATCGGTTGCAGCCCACTGTCAAACTGTGTTCCCCCCACTGTGTGAATACACATGACCGTAATGGACAGCTTGATTTCATATACGAGCTCAGTTCCATCATGCATTTCTTCATGGATGTAGTTACCTTTCTTCTCTGAATGGTCTTACTTCCTACGGGACTTCGACCTTTTTGTTTGTTTGTTTTTAATGTCTAAGGGTGTTTTGCCTGAGTGTGTGTCTGGTGTCCTTCATTCATCAAAAGCATTGGGACTGTACCTACCATATGTCAGGCTCAGCACCAAGGGTCCAACTATTAAAAGATGAGGAATGACCCAACGAAAATGACAGCAGAGGTAAGGAAGGGGGCGGGTGATGGAGCTTACCGGGACCTCAGGATTTGGAACTGTTAGGGAGGCGAGCATTCTAGAACACGAAGAACCAACCCTCCGATGTCCAGGCCCAGCGGAAATGAAGGAAAGTCAAGGTGCCCAGAACTTGAGGGCTGTGAAACACAGATAGGTAGTTAATCAGGCAGGAAATTTCAGCTAAAGAATGACTGGGAAAGCTCAAGAGAGCAGGCTGAGCAGTTGCTAGGTTACCTAAGGACCAGGGATCACCAGCACAAAAGTGGTGGTGTCACAGGATACAGAAAGACAACGTTGAGGAAGTTGAATTACAAAGAACTCAATGAAGATTTTAGAACTAAATGCAAAACCTGCATTTCCCGCTGGCCCGTACGGGGATCGAACCCGCGACCTTGGCGTTATTAGCACCACGCTCTAACCAACTGAGCTAACCGGCCAGAACGAGACAAGCCTTCTTCCTTCTTCCTTATAAAAGATCTTAAACAGCATCCTTTTTATTGGCGTTTAGGTTTCAAAATAGGTAATCGTACTGATTTATTTTGTTCTAGATTTGGCCTCAAGGAGCGCTGCGTCATCCAAAGAAACGTTTTGGGATTCTTTGTTTTTATTTTCCCTTAAATCAGATGAACCGAGCCCGCTAACGGGCTTTCTTCCCTGTGCTCCGCCCGCGGCGTCTACAGATGCTGCTCACACCCGCAACCACACACCCGCAGATGCGGCTTTGACGAGCGATGAATGAGACGAGATTTCCTCTGGCTTCAGCAAAGGTCAACGGAGGTCTTTCCTTCAGTCCAGATTTTCTATGCAACCATTTTAAGAGAAAGTTCTTCTTTGGTTATGACTGGTATTTCTGATTTTTTTAAATTTCCAAACTAAATTTCCAGGGTTGCTGAGCCTTACTAATGTGTGAGGTCGTATTCAAATAATACATAACTACACTTCTTTTCAGTTCTGGCTCCGTGGCTTAGCTGGTTAAAGCGCCTGTCTAGTAAACAGGAGATCCTGGGTTCAAATCCCAGCGGGGCCTTTTTGCTTTGGTTCTTTATCAACCCGACCTGGTATTCTTAACAATTGAATTGCAGTGTTTTTCTTCACATCCTATGAGATGGATACATACAGCCTTTTAAACTTTGCTGAGAAACTGAATGACTGCTTGCATTGGAAGGTGGAAATGGGAAATGGAGTATTTCGGGAAAAGCTTTCGAGTAATTCCTGAGGACAGGTCAGAACGTTGGTTTTGAGATCACGAGATTTGAAACGCATAATCAGTCTAGACTAGCTGAGGTTTGCTCCTTGTCACTACACACGGTTTGAGAAGAAGTTATGATAATTTATGAACTTTAAACCCACTGGGAATGAATGAGCACGCCGCAGTCAGTTCTAGCATTTGGGACGAGGAAGCGAAAGGATCAGGAGTTCAAGACCAGCTTCTGACATATAGCAAGGTCCTGCGTTTTTTAAAAGGTGGTTAGTAACAAAACCGAAGTACTTAACAACTGACAACTGATTATAGGTTGTTGGGGGGGGGAAATCATTTTGAGCTTGATGTCTTTAAGCCTTTTCAGGCAGACTTTACATAGAATAACTCAAAGACATCAAACTCTGAAAAATTAAGACATTCGTGTTTTATTTTCTGTTTCTTTTCCTGCTTTTTATATTCTAAGATGTATTTTCAGATTATGTTACCCTCTCTAAACGTCTAATCTCCCTTCTTTAATAAGGTTCACAGAATTCTACGAGCAGAACATTGAATTTCATGAAACTTCCTCTCCTGCCTGCCTCTAATGGCCTAATGACTGGGTAGCTCATTTTTTGGGGGGGTGGGGGGGCTGAACATGAAAGACTATGCAGTGTGCCAGGAGACTGGCAATGTAAAGGACTGCTTAGGTTGGGGACATGCTTCAGTGACAGAAAGCTGGCCTGGCTTGCTCAGGGCCCTGTGTTTGATTGCCATTACTACAAAATTAAAGTAACTAATTTCCCTGCAAATAACCACCCTACAGAAAATGGCTTCCAAACACGGGTACTCGCCAGACTAGCTGCAGTCCACTGTCCTTGGGGTCTGCGTTTGTGTTTTATGTCTAACACAGAGGCCCAGGCCACAGTTCCACATAAGGAATTCAGAATCTTAGAAGTGTCCATCAAACACAGGTAGTTAAGTCTTAGGCTGCCGGGGCCCACACCTTGGTCATGATCACACAAACACAAACACACACACACACACACACACACACACACACACACACACACACACACATCTCCTCCATCTT